TTTTTTTTTTTTTTTTTTTTTTTTTTTTTTTTTTTGAAAGGCTTAGGTTTTCAAATTCATGAACTTAAACGGAAAGTTATTTATGAAATATTTTGCATTTGAAACTGCTGTCGTTCTTGAAGTGGTTCTGGCTAAGGGCAAGTATCAATTTTACAAAATCTCTTCATTATTGCTTGCTTTTACCGCTGGTGATTTAATTCTTGCTAAGGCATTATTGAGACTCATACTTTCAAGCGAAGAGGATTCGGAAGTTAATTTTGCGTCTATTTTTCTAGAATTCGTGTTGTTTTCGATTTTCGGTCATCAGTGTTGATAAGCGTGTAATGTTTTCATTTTGTTGGGTATTTTCATTATAAATTGTTCAGTAGTTTTCTTTTCCTATCCAGCGTTTTCCCAAGTGCTAATTTGTTTTACAAAATATTTTTTCAATGCTTTTGTCTTCCTGAATCTGATTAAATGTTTTTTTTCATAGATAGGAAAGCAATTTGTAGGTTGTTCCTTGGCCCTTGTCATTCTGAATCTGGTTAAATGCTTTTGTTTTTCTTTTTTTAAGATAGGAGGGCAATTTATAGGTTGTTCCTTGAAAAGCAGTTTTTACATTCATTTGAACCTTGTCGGTTCATGCTAATTTGAGAAGAGAATGTTTTATTTTCACATGATGACGTTGAAACGAGGAATAATCTTTATTAGAAGTCACCGTCGGCTTCTTCAAATATCTTTTTTTTCTGTAGTTCTGAAGAGATACAATTTTTTTTTCAAAGTTTAAAATCTCGCTTGTGGTATGGTCAGTCGTCATGACTTCTGAAGTTCTTTATTATCTACCTTATTATTGCATGTTTTGTTGTTTCATTTACTGGTTTACAAGAAATTACAAGGAACGGTACTTCAAATGTTTCGTATTCTTGATACTTTGTTTATTTAAGTGCAAAGGAAGTTTTATTGTCATATTCTCATCCTCTGTGAGGATTTTTCGTTAATTTTTTCATCATTGGGGATTTCATTAGTTTTTTATCCCTTCTTTGATCTTCATTTTTCGTTGGCTTAATTGCTAGTTTTCCTTTCATCTGTAGACGACATGTTAGTCAAATTTACAAGTTTTGGGACTTTTGACTGTTGAAGTAACATAGTGCAAAAATTTTCAGTGTAAAATTGAAGTTTCTTGTTTTGTTGGTCAAGTATCCACAGCAATTTGTAAAGATGGGTTCAATTGAAATGGAAGACCTTCCACTGACAAGGAATGACGCTCTGAAATCAGAGACCGCAGCTGACATTGAGGTTGTTGCTTAATTTTCTGCCTGAAATGTTGCTGTAGTTTAAGCAGTAATTTTTTCCGTGCGTATTTGGTGTGATTCCAGTAGTTTTTACCAATTATTTCATTTTATTTTAATATATAGTTGAGTCTTCTAACAAAGCTTTCAGAGTTAAAATACAAAAAAAATTATTTGGTTTTTGTATGTTACCTGGAAATTTCATCTCCGTAGTAGCTCGCCTTTCTAGGAAAGCGTTCAAACTGCGTTTGGAAACATCAAAGTGTCAATTTATGGGGATCGGAAAATGCATCCTATCGTGACGTTTCACGACATTGGTTTAGATTGTTAGTTCCCGTTTTCTTTTGTTTGGTACCTTTTGTAAAATCGTTTGCAGCGTATGAATACTTCTACTTTTGCAACATTTGTTGTATTCCTTTTCAGCAGAAAGCAGCTTCCAGAATTTTTTACAGTTCGGAGCAGTTGCTAAATTTTCTGAGAAATTCTGCGTGTATAATATTAATGCATTGGGGCAAGAGGCCAGTGCAGCACCACTTCGGGAAAAGTTGGTCATTTGACGTTTTTTAGCTCCCCTCGTTTTTAAAATTTTTCGCAGTAAATTCTGAGGGAGCAATACTATCAGTATATTGTTTTTGATATTAAAGTCATATCTAAAAGATTTGGATTTAGTTTTACGTATCCCTCTTTGGATGACATGGCAAAGCAGATTGAGAATGTGGTGGATCACTTCGGGTTTGTTACTTTTCAGTTCGGTTGTTCTTCTTCCTAATTATTTTTTTTTTTCAAGTTGAAGATTGAAAGTAGAAATATTGCTTTTCAGTCTTAAGAATTTTATCGGTTTGGGTGTTGGAGCTGGAGCCAATGTTATGATGCGATATGTGGTAATTTTTTAAAAGATTTTTTTATGATTGGTTGTTTTTATGGCTATAAGTAGATGTACATGCAAGTTTTTATGATATTTTATGCGGGACTTATTTGTGGTTGTAGAGGGAATATGGAAGGGAGGTCTTGTCTTTCATTTCGACTTTTAAACATACTCAGAAAGGTGGTGGAGTTTTATGTTCCCTGAAAACTCTTCGTTTTCATCGGTGTTAAGAGTTCCATTTTATAGCTGAAACATGTTGAGAAGTTAGACGCACTTATTTTGATAAATCTGGTTGCTACGGCTGCAGGATGGATTGAATGGGGATACCAGAAGGTATCTGTTTTTCCAGCGCACTATTTTAAAATGATAATGCCTTTGTAACTCGTTTCCAGGACTCTTTTACATTCTTGCACCAAAAGTCACGTCCTTGTAAAAATCTTTTTTGTTGTCATAGTTAATGAGTTCCTGAAGCAATTACAGGCGAACATAAGTTACTTACGGTCAACAGGAATGACATCTTTTACGGTTGACTATTTAATGTGGCATCATCTTGGGAAACGACTGGAAGAATATAACCCAGATCTTGTTCGTGAATATCGTCTACACTTTCAGAACCTGCCTAACCCGCAAAATTTGGCATATTTTATCGAATCTTATCTGCAGTAAGTTGATACATCGATTTTTTGGAGGGGGTGACTTAACGGTTGAAAACATTTCAGGCGAACACCTTTGCAATTTTCACGTGATGGTGAAAACGGACCAAAGTTGAAGGTCCCAGTATTACAAATTGTTGGAGCGGGGTCGCCATTTGTGTCGGACACGGTGGAAGTGAATTCGCGTCTGGACCCTGCTAATTCAAGTTGGATGAAAGTATCGCTTTGAGCATTGTCCACCGCACCTCTTTCACACCTTTATCCTCACTAGTGTCCGTTTTGCAGATTTCTGACTCCTGCGGACTTGTTTTAGACGATAGTCCAGAGAAGGTAACGGAAGCTATGATACTATTCTTGCAAGGCTTAGGTTACCGTAAGTTTTCACTTTGTATTTCTACCAGTTTTCATTCTACTTTTTGAGGTTATGCGGGGATTTTAATTTCTGTGGTGGAGCGTTGGAAATACAACATCAGTATGTTTTAATGAGGAAGACTTTTAGAAATCTGTTCTACAGGGAGAGTATGTAGTAGAAGACTTGCGTAACAACGGATTTTCTTAAGCCAGAATAAACTAAAATTGAGGGGATTTAAACTGTTCATTAGGTAGTTTACTCTGCAGAAACCTTAATTGCAGGCTAGGAACGAGTTTGCGTGTTCCCTTTTTTGTCGTGGGCTGCACGAAACGACTCATTTAAAAAAACATTTGGGTGTGCTTGAGTTGATAGTACTAGGTTATTTCTGCAAATAATAGAAATTTGGAAATACACGGTCTTTGTCATATCAATCACCTTAGATTGACGTGCAGAAGTGAAGTTTCAATCCAGCCAACAAATTTTTACCACAAAATATTAATTTTTTGAATTACCTTTTCTTTGAAGTGGAACAGTGGTGAACATTTGAGGAAAGAATGCGATGAGGTTTTGAGAGCTGCAATACAGCTAACATTGATTTAGGAGCTTCTTATTTTACGCAACTTATGTGTCCATCTCTATTTCATCTTGGGATTGGTCACTGTAGAGAAAATGTGGAAAGTCATGATGGCACAGACCTTTTTATGCTAAGAAGAGTATTTCTCTTGTTCGACTGCTTGCATCTGGTCATGCTGAATGACGTCCTAATTGAAGTAACCATCAGATTATGCAGCGCTCTTACAGCCTAAAAATACTCGTTTCAGTCTCTACAGTTAATGCTCACCAGGTGGTTCAGAGGGTAATGCGAGCCCACAGTGCAACGTCAAGCGAAAGTGGTGAATCGCCTTGTTTTGTCCGTACTGTTGGTGAAATAAGTTAACTCTCCTTTGGTCTTATTTTATGTTCATGTACATTGCTGTGAGTTCTCATCTCCTGTTGCTTTTATTTCAATGATTGTTCATATAATGTGCTCGACAGCCGTTGTTTAATTTGCAGTGAGCTTTGTTAATATTTTCACGCTCGGAACCCTAAACCCACAAGCGCCGTGTGGGGTGGCTTCCATACCGCTGCAGCAAACTTGTAGTCTCACCTCACTCCTTTGTAAATATGTATGTAAATATTGCTGTACATGTCTGTCCGTTTAAACTAGTCTTGTACTACACGCTAAGAAGCTGCCCTCCACGGTTAAGGGAGTCATCTGTGCGTTGTTAGCACGAGTTATGTAAAGCTCGAGCGAACGTGAAACGTTTAGATGTAGATCTATCCAGTTGGGAGAAGTAAAGTAATTTTTACTGACACCAGCGCAGTACATCTATTGCACATGAATGACAAGGCAAAGTCGGTAATAGAGTCAGCTCCTACCCTCTACTGAACGAGTCAAGCTGATTAAAGTAAAACTGTAGCCTGGCTTCTAGCCGACCGATGTCCTGAAACAAATGTAACATGCGTCGTCCACAGGTTTAGAAACGTACATGGGCAGGACCAAACTGACCTTTTTGATAGCTGTATTGTCACACGTCGACACCAAATAGTAAAGTTGGTCTATTGCTGTATATGGTAGCAACACCTGGGCTCCCTTTACAATGACTTCCCGAGCTGCCAGGTCGACAGCCTTTATCACAGACGCGCAGGCTTCTTCAAGTCTGCCGTAAAGCAACAGGAGGTTCAAAAAATCCGCCAAGAAATGTTCCTGAAAAAGTGGGGGAGACGTGTCAAGTGTCCCGTATGACACGTTTGATTTGTCTTAAAACTAGTACTTCATAGTATGACGACAGCCAGCACGGCAACGGCCATTTATGTTGTAGGAAGATGTCACACGCCGACCTAAGAACCCTTGAGTCATTCGGGAATGTACGTATTGCCATCTCAATGTACCCTCGCAGGATGGCAGCACAAGAATCTTTCTCGCTGAAATATTTAATCTCGTGAATCAGAAGAACTTCCGGATGAAAAAAAGAGCATGGAAACGAGAAATATGCATGTAAGTGTCCGTACACATTCGTCCAGAACGTGGACTAACCTTGCCGACGGAATTTCCTTGGTTATGTACGAAGCCCACGCTGGGTCTTTAGTAACTCCTGACGCATAGTGATTAATGCATTCCTTAACTAATGCCTTTATTACATCATATGGTGGCATCTCGAACGCCCTTAAAAGCATAAATAGTTTGTGAAAAGAAAAACTTGCTCTCAAAAAGTATACTCGCACAAAAGGATACTGGTGGTTTAGAGGTCTCAGTACTGAGAAGACAAGTCTTCACCTGATCAGAAACCATGCCCTTTGAAACAGTCGCTTCTCAATCAGTTCGTTTAAGATATCGCTGACATTAGTTGGAGGGGAATAAGTTTCAAGTCCTCCAGAAACCTTACTATGTTCATCGAAAAGTGCCAAACGTGCGTCTTCTACCACAAATTCCTTAAACATTATTCGTATATCAACATAAGAGCAATTAGGAGCCTTACCTTAACGATGTCAGATTCACTCAGCAGATTGACAGAAGTAACAGATTTTCCTTTCAAATTCTTTTCCTGAAGAGCAGTTTCGTGGGCTTCTTTGTCCTCAGCTTCACTTGACGAGACTGAAGCAGCTGCGTCCTGTAAAAAGTAATAGGATATTTATGAAACAGGCAACAGATACTTGAAAATGAAAGGGGACTTCTTGGCTAGGAACAGTCAGGTAACGGAAGTTCAGGGGCAGCAACAGAAGTGTCTGGTGCACAACACTCAGCAAACGACACCGACGAATCAAACTGTCATGCGTTTGTACTTCCCCTCGAAATCTGCTTGTGTACTCATAAAATGCTAATGCTGCTGCAAATAGCTGACATTTTTGCAAAAATAACCAAACAATTACAATAGTTACATCCAAAAAGAAAAAAAAAAGTTTGAAATACCACTCAGAGGAACAACTTGCCTTTAGTGAAATTGCTTCTATGAAAATGAAAAGCGTATAAAGCTTCGTAAAGAAATCCATTGTCAACGACTCCAACACTTCTAGCACGAGCTTCCAGAATTTCTACTACCTAGATTAATAAAATTATTTTTTTAAAAACTTATAAATGGCATGGTGACCTCAACTCCCACTCCTTACAAAGCTGAAACCTCGAGTTCAATAAATCAAATAGAAAAGAAAGAAAGCGAAGAAATAGTACATAATCCTGCATGATCCCATAATCCAGAATGATTAGCTCCTTCATCTTATTGCAGTCAATAAGCTTTGCAACTAGTTCTCTCAAACACATCTTCCGATTATCATTCGATGGATTTTTCAACAATGTGCGAACACAGTCAGAATAACGCGATGTGGCCAATTCGTGTTTGAATAATGTGGTATAGATGAGAGTCTACAATGAAACAGTAGGGATTACGGTTGACCAAAGCTCTGCAACAGAAAAGCAACGTATAGTCCTCACTATCAACGGATCATTTGTTCCAACTTTCTGCAGTGCTAAGCGACCCATAGTGACTATTTCTTCGCTGCAGTTCCGTCCCTCCATAACTTCCATTACCTAAATCCAGCATGATGGTCTGTTAACAACCTTCAGAAATGGTTACCACAGTCAGTACTCGGAAGTCTCTGTACCAGAAGAAAAAATCACAAACTAGTTTAACGAAAAAAAGTGTTATTGCTAATAGTGGTAGCGAAGAAATCGCGGTATACTTTTAGGAAATACTCTGGTGATGAGCCGCTTCTCCCGGGGAAGACAGCTTTCATCAGTGCTTCATCTCCTTCTTCTATGCCTTTGTAAGCGTCAAAAAACACACGTGTAGCCTAGAAATCAAATTAAAAAAACTAAAGCCCAACCACACAATAGTAAAAACTGAAAATTCTGCAAAAAAAAGAATCAGTATGTTGCCTGACAATATGCAACATATTCACATTATAATTATAAGATGATAACAAACATCTTCAGGCTGTCCAATACCAGAGTAAGCTATCCCTTTAAAGAATTGAAACGCGTGAAAGAGTTCAGGGCTCCATGGGTCATTCAACAGACAGTGATTCTGAATAAAGCAATTAGGTACCATAAATATTTCTCCTCAATTGCCGATAAAACAAAATTTTAAAAAAACCCCGACAATAAGATTAGAACCGAAACTAAACAGTAAAAGTAACAAGGGAGAAAACTACCAATAGAGCGTCAAACTGTCCAGTTTTTGTCAGATACTGTGCAAGAAGCATTTCCACATTTTCAGGCCACAAAACTGCGATTGCAGTAGTAACAATATCTGGCAATAAATCTGTTAATGAAGGTCTAAGACTCTTAGCAACAGGTGCGTCCTCAACGCTCAAATTGCCATCTCCTGAATACTCCTAAAAATGAAAGAAACGTGGAGCATCGTCTTGAGAAAACTTTTAGAAGCGAGTATGACAAAAAATAACCTCAGATAAGAAATAACTTTTTATAACGTCAAGCCCTCCATCAGAAAAGAACGCATCACCAACAGAGACTTCCATCTGAGTCTTGTGACTGCAATGAAATTCACAATTCGTTATAAAACGACACAAGTAAAGTAAAAATTCCCTGATAAATTTAAAATCCTTACTTCTGCACACGAATTGAAAGTGCCTGCAATAAAATCCTGTAATGGCGATTGAGGCTTCGCAGTCTAGGCTCGTATACTGCCAATGCAGATATCCATTGGGATAAATTTGTTAGGAACCTCTTTTAAATAAAATAGTTATATACACTCAGAGTGCTGGAAGAAAAAGAGAAAAAAGGATGGAAATATCAAAAGAAACACAAAAAACACGACAACGTTTAAAACCTCGTTTCCGACTTAACAGTTCTGCCCCAATAAATCTAACTAGAAAGGTAGTCGGATAAAGTTAGTGTACGCCAGGTGAAACTGTTACCCATTTTTACAGCTAGTTGGTGTCTGGAGAACTGTTAGTATTTTTGTTAATATTTGTAGTATTTCTTGTAAAATTACATGTATCTGAAGGTCATCAAGTTTTATATCTGTTTTCTGGCTTCTGTCGTTAAATCATAAGACAAAAACTGAGACATTAAACTCATTCTGCACAGTCACTTCTGCCCATCTCCACTAATGACTCTCTCAGAACAACTAACTAAGTGTTTAGCTCTCAACTAAAGCATAAAAGACCAAACTTTTTCGGTCTAAGTTTGTTGAACTTCGTATTAACAATTCTCCAGACACCTCTAAGAAACCTTCAGAAGTAACTAAGTAACAGATAACTCTCTACTCCTCACAAAGCCAGACTACCGGCCTACGCAGACAAAGCTACTTCAAAACTGTGTTGTTGCTTTCATCCTTCAACCTATTTAAAAACAGTTCATTATCCATTATATCTCAATACATATACGCCAAACTAACTTAATAACGAACAAAAAAGCCTCGTGAGTCATAAATAGATGAACATCCCAGTCATCACCAAATACTAAAGAGTTAAATTGAAAACCTGTACGTATTCCTCTCAAAACCTTAAGAAACTAAATGTTAATTTTGACGCATTTCAGAAATAAGTATTTTGGCAACATATATACCTGGGATGTTAGGTAATAAATCTTTATGATAGACAACATAGCATCTGTGAAAAACAACCGGTCGATTATTCTTTGGCGTACAGCAGCCGAAACTAAGCCGGGGAAAAAAGCAGCGCTATACGACTCAACAAAGAGATGGTCTGCAATCAAAGGCTTTATGACAAAACAGTAAACAATTGCAAAGTAAAGGCTTTATGACAAAACAGTAAACAATTGCAAAGTCAGACCTGAGAATCTTCAAACGGTTAGATATACTAAATAAAACATAGAAATCCCTTGGTTCTCTTGAAATCTTTACAGAAAAATCACTCCCAAATTCTTCAAATCAGTGACATACCTGTTAAGCAATGCTCTCGTTTTTTTACCTCCACTGTGCAAGAATCAACTAGGTTCTTGAGAAACTTAGCGGCTACCTCAGATATGATTGAAAAGTAAGAGACAAATGAATCACTATCTTCCTCCGGAATAACAACTTCTTCCTAAAGACGAGTTACGATATTACAGATACACAGCCAATGACCTCTCTGTCATGACAATCTGAACATAAATGAGACGTTAAGATTTAGATTTCCAGAATTGAAAGGTTTTAGAATATTTTCTCCACAAAACACCATTAAAATTACTGCGAGAAAATATTTGTTTTGAACTGAGAAACACTTTTTTAGAACTTCTAAAACCATCTGTTTTTAGTAGTTCTTATAATCTTGCCTTTCTCTCTAGTTGATTTTTCTAACTGTTACACCTAAAACAGTTAGATTAAAAATACTACACACTTGTACAGCGTAAACACTTCAAAGGTCCATGTTACAGTCCAAATTAGAAAATAAAGAAAGCAATTTAATACTGATTTACTAGGCAACTGCAACACTACAAAGGTTATTTTCGCAGTTTGCCACAGTAAGTCAAGTGCCGAAAGGAAATTCAAGCCTCAAAGAGTAATTTAAATCACTCTAGTATTTTAACTGCAGGTAACTGCCCATGAAAAATTTTTGAGGAAAAACCCGATCCTTTTTCTCACACTTGTATAGATTTACAATCTACTCACTAAAATATACTTTCTCCAAAAAAATATACATTTAAAAATTCTTGTATGATTGAAAAAAGCAGACCGAGCCAAACAGAGGAAATATGAACTAATCTGAGGCCCGGAAAATATATAGTTCAAAGCATTCAAATCATAATGGTTCCAAAAATGTACCGAAAAAGTAAACCTTCCAAAAAATTCCCTATATATGGGTATAATAACCCAAATTGTCTCTTTCCACACACACAAACACACACACACAAGACACGAGCAAGGAAACTTCTTCGCTCCTCCCTAAAAATGATCTAGCTCAACCATACAAAATGCAAAAATAAATGATGCCATTATTGAAAGTAAACCTGGGACGTCAAAAATCGTCGACCAATATCAAAGCATTCAATAAATGCGTCATTAACAAGCCGTTCCTGACTATACGGTAATAACATCCCATCCAGCCACTTCAACTTTTTATCTTCAGCCACACAAACAGTAAAGCGACCCTGGAAAAGATTCTTTTCAAAAAGTTAATTTAACAAGCAGTACTAAAAACTCCGCACCTCTGTCCCTGAAAGATTAGGTTTTCTCTGAAACAACTGTTTTTTTAGAAGATTGAAATGATATTTCCGCTTAATTAAACTTGCGAACAAGAATTTTTTTGAATCTTCTGCAGTTTTCAAGTTTTGTAATAAATGTCAAATTCTATACGGTATTGTAATATTGGAAAACCCGTCCCTTCAACTCTTCTTTCAATTACTGAAAAAACAGCATTGATGCACATTAATTCCATTTTGAGAATCAGCAATAAATTCCAATTCTGTAAACAAGAAAGCATTAACAGAGGCATTTAAGCAGAAATGCCACCCTTAGAAGAAAAACCTAGGTCAAACCAAAAAACCAGGTCGGCAATGCCAAGTCTGAAAGCTGTCCGATCGTGACCGCAAAAAACCTAATTAATGGATTATATTGGTTTCCACAAAGGTTCAAAACTACTTTCAACATGGAAATTTTACTTTATAATAAACAAAAACTGGTACAACAAACCGTGCAAAAAACTTTAAAAAAATCTGGCTTGACAGAACCCTAACCTGCAATGAAAAATGATATGACAGTATAACTGAAAATGAAGCGGTATATACCGAGATCGATAGAGATGAAGAATAGTACACTCTGGAGTTAGAGAGAAAACTCTTATCATCACATGTCAATCTGTGCACCAGAAAAATTGCTTGAACTCTCCCCCCCTCCTTCACTCAAAAAAAAACTATTAAATAATGCGCTCAGTTATCTGCAGAAATGAATGGCGAGTCTGACCACACATCATTAATCAAAAACCTTGAATACCAATTTCCGTGAATTATGTCATAGTTTAAAAACCAGTACTCTTTACACATCAAACGTATTCCTTACAGCGTTCAGTCTTCAAGATTGCAGAAAGTCTTAAAGGCTTTAAATGGTTCACAGAACCAAACTCTGTTTCTCTCCGCCTAAAAATTGCTGATCCGAACAGTGGAATTGAAGGCTAAGTGCGACCGCTATATGAATTAAAACTGTCACTTACGCCGTTCCGTAATCTAACAAGTTAGTGAAAAGGGTCAGAGCTGCAGTCAGCTGACCTAATAGGATTTAAGAATAACACAGAATTAGTTTTTGCTAGAAGGATGATGATGACTAATAGAAAGCATTCTTGACGGCTTTAGCTATTAATCAGTTGAAGATGAGGAAATACCGTAAATAGCAAATCTTTTTGCAAAAATGTTACCTTTTGCAAGGCACCGTATAAACCGCTTGAATTCGAATGCCAAACCCCAAGTGGAAAACAATTTGCTTCGAGCAACTCATTACAGCTTTTTTCCAAAGCTGTCCAAAACTTCAATTTTGGGTTCTCATCACTCCTGCCACTACGACTTTGTTTCTTCTCTGTCCGGCTCAGAGACTGAGCCTCAAACTACAATTCAAAAATACTTAATTAAAAAGTTAACCGGTAGCCATTAAACAGAAGTAGTGACGGAAAAGATTTAAAATATGTTCCAGTAAAGTTCGTGAACCTTCAAAATTTGTAATATTGACAAAAACAGCTGGAAATAAATTTGTAGACTTCAAAATACTAATAGATTGAAAGAAAAACTCACTTGCGGAGCAGCGACATAAAACTCAATTATATTCCTCAAGCCATTCCAGTCATTCGGTAACAATCTTTGTAGTTGTACTTCGCAGGAACGATGCTTACACACAAGCTAAAACAGAATGAACAAACCTTCAAAGGTTTCCATTTTTCATTGTAAAAACTAATTTTATAATTCCAATCTCATTTAAGAAATCTTAACAAACTGTTTCTTATACCATAGCAGAACGTAAAACCACATCAAATGAATAGTTGTTCTGGTCAAAAATTCGAAGACTTTTCTTGTTCACGTCACTACTACTATCTGTTCCAAAATCGTCGTCCTTAACACTACAAATGGAAGGACTACGAGTAACTTCCCACGTATCCAACTCTCCCGTTTCCCTCAAAAATCTTTTTTCAGACCTTGTCAAAAACTACTGTTAACAGTACGTAGTAAGCGGCAACCTAACCAATCAATATTCGCAGTTAAAAAGACTGAATATTTGAATTCGTTCCTAGACAAAACAATCAGTTTATCGTGGCCATCACAAAAAAAACACGAGAAGTCAACAACGTATATCTGCAAAATACAGGAAAAAATGTTGAAAAAGTCCCTCAATGAAAATGACAAATATTTGACAGTGGTTTTTAACTATGAATTATTGGCCATAAAAATTAACTCACGGCTGGAACTGGAACAGTTTGGAACTGTTTCAAGGAATCTTTAGGTTTCCACATATCCGAAACACAAGTTCTTGAAATCATTATCTGAAATGAAAACAGCATTTTCTTGGAAAATGCCTAAAGCATTACTTACAAATTAAAAACTATAAATCAGCCATATAATTAATTAAAAAATATTATAAAAAAGTGGAAGCTGCAATACGAAAATTTAATTCAAAGAGATAATCAATTTCAGTAAAATGAACCAAAAAAAACAAGCAACTAAAGACTAAATCTCTACAACAACGGAAAAAAAGGAATACTTACGCAATTCTCATTGTTGCCACTCTGAACATGGCAAAGTAGAAGTAAAAGCTGATCAACCTGTTGCACTTTAATAGTCATAAAAGCTGAAATTGAGAACCTCGAGAAGAAAGCACTTCAAAGAACGTAGAGATTACTAAAAACTGTCTCGCTGAATGGCCAACCCAATAAAAAAAATTTCATAAGATCCCACAACAACAAGTGCGTGTTAAAAGAGAGGGCGAAAATGACTGTTGAGAACTATAATGATCAAATAAAAATTAAAAATACTCACTTAGCGATTCTTGCGTCTGAGAAAGCTCCCTACCCAGACACTCAGTTAAATTTTTGTTGTATTCCAGTCGTTGCTTCTAAATACTCGATCAAGAACTTGAAAACAGTGAAAGCTAAAGTAGGAGAATAAGTGAAAAAAACCTACCAAATAAACTTGCAGAATGCCACTAGTAAAAAGAACGAAGAAAAAACATTCGTTGTTCAATGTATAAGAAGCAAGACTAGACACATTCCTTACTGTCGTAGATCCTACCATACGTTGCAGAATCCCTTCACTGTGAAGATAAGTTACTTCAACTGAAAAAGTAATGTTTTAAGAAATAAATGAGGAAAGTAACTGTGAAATCTGGATAGGTGTCATAAATAATGAAATGAGTTTTAAATAATATCCGTAGGTCAGATGTAACCATACTACTATTTTAACAACGAAGTAGTAAGACAACACCATTCGGAAGGGTCGCAGGGACACTGCTCATTTCAAGTTTGATAAGCTGCGTATCACGGAGGAAAAAAACACTGAACAACTCTAGTTTTGTATAAGCAATATGAGCTCGGACAGCAATACTCTGCGAATTCAGTTCGTAGCTGTCATGGATTTCCCGCAAATGGTTTGAACGCTCATGAAGTAGACTTAGTAAAGACTTTGCCTAAAACACAAAATACCTCGAAGATACTTCTAAAAAGTTGAAAGTTTGCACGAGGAATTGAGCAAAAACATACCGACATAGCAAATCCAACAGGTATATGAAGGAAAAACCGGTGCAGCGCAGTTTGTGTAGGACAATAAATAAAAAGAAAGGAATCTGCATAAAATATGCAAGTGCCAGGAATAATTTGTGAAGAATGAAGACTAATACAAAGACTATTTTCTACTAAAGGGATGTCCATACAGTGCTCTTCCAGATATAAATTAGAACCCAACGCACGCCTAAAACCAAAAAAAAAAAATTAGGAATTACAAACATCATGCATAACTTCAAAAATAATTGTAGTAAATCAATTATGAAACAAGAAAACTAAGAGTTTGATATACCATATGATGAACCGTTGTTTAAATTCGGTATCATTTTCAAAACTGAAAAATCCAGCAGACTTCTCAGCTTCTTCCACATTTAGAGTCGGTGGTGGTTCTGCTGAAATAAAACCGACTATTTTAACGGAAATGACATAAATTATTGCTGTAAATAGCTCTACAAAAAAAAAAAAAAAATGAAATTTTTAACCAAGCAAATATTAAATAGCTGACAGTTCTTCTAATTAATAGCAAAGAAAAAACTAAGAAACTAACTTGAGATTCTGATCGCTGAAACAGGAACTTTAGCATATGTTGCAGCAAAAGCCACTTCGACACTACCGATGTAGTCACTCATAAGATCAAATTTACCTCATACATCCAAGTACAAAAGTCCAACTTCTAAAAAGAAATATCCTACTGCTTTGTTTTAACCGTTTTATGCGACATTTTTGTACGAAATTAAGACCAATTTAGACGATTTATATATATATTCGACGGATTGACTGAAGCTAGCAATGAACCTACTAAAAAGCCTTTAAATAACTGAGAAAGCAAGTAGTCACACAAATCAACCAAAAGTGCTTCCTTAGCCAGCGAGAGAAAAATGTGTGTATCCCACATACGAGTCAAAAAAATTTTAGAGCCCACTGCCCTACACAAACGAATGAAAATCCACAAAACGGATTCCAGATTTTCCCTACCCAAAGGGCTATTTGAGTAAAATGAAAACTTTAAAGATTTTACAGCGGAAACAACTTTAACAGTGCCAATAAAATCATTCAAGAAAAAAGTTAACAAATAGGTCTCAGGACGTACATATCCTGTAGCCCAGATGTTTTGTAGCTTCAGGTCAAGACTGTCCACAAATCGTCAAATCGGCGCTATAACTAAATATTAGACGGCAAATAAAATATGTAAAACGAAATAACTTAGAGACCGTTCAAGTTTGTTGCATATTTCAAAACCACAACTGCAAAGAGGGTCGTTGGGAAGAAAGTATGAGAATCGTGGCGAGTAGAGCTGAGAAAATTTGGAAGTTTTTTGCTCGTAAAAGTGAGAAAGAGGAATTTTTTGCGGAATCTTTTAAAACTGTAAATTCCCAGGTGACCAATTCCATTGCTTTTAACAAATTGCAGAATCCTTTCTTTGGAAGTCCCTTGGCAACGATGGAGAATAGAGTAGAAGCCGCTGCAGAAGCTTCTAGTGCCTGCTCCACAATTTCTTCAAATAATTTTGCCAGCAAGTTCAACTACGTGAAGCGCCTGATACGAAAATGGTCAAAACATAAAACACCTAAGATGCTAGATTTCAATAAATTGCAAAGGATAAAGTCAGTTCTAACGTACAAGAACCACAAACATCTGGTGGGTTCCACGGAAAGCTATAGCTTGCACCCACATAAAATACTGATTTTCGTGGTTACACAGAAGCAAGTGCTAGCAGAAAAATCGGCATATGGATAATGTCTGCAGATTGGTCAAGCAAATCGTTTTGAATTTATTTGTAAAAAGGAAATTTTAAATATTGGCGAAAGGCCAAGAAGCATAAATGTACGTCTTAATGAAGCATATGCATGTCGTATGTATATGCACAGTGTAGAATTTTACACCAAATTAGGATCTGGAAGTGTACATGGGATTCCTCGCAATTGACGGACTAGGATCACCAAATGAAGGATTACTGTTAGGGTATTCGATTATACTGCGCCGTATCAAGAAGTGAAATTCAGCGTTATACGGTGAAGATTACGCATAATTAGTTGTATTAAACCTTTTTCAGATGACCGAAAATGAAGAGCTAGAGAGACAAAAGAAATATGACATTAAAAATGCGGCTTTTGATTGTGAGTATTACCTGAGCAGCTTGTTCAAGAAGAAGGGCCTTGACGAGTTAGTCCAAGTAGAAGAGGATATGGTGCAAAATGTCGGTTGTCAATGCTGCTTCTTTTTATAATACGATTCATCATTTCTTCTTCTAGTTTTATCTGTACGTGCAATTATGCCTCTTCCCTGTAGCTGCATCGGGACTTAATCTCAGATAGCGTTTCTTTGGTCAGATATAGAAATCTGAGGTTTTAATCATTTCAAAAAATATATTCTCTTTTAGGTCAGAAGACTTGATTCTGAAATGCAGCAACTTGTCTACGAAAATTATAATAAGTTTATAACTGCAACTGGTACTGTGAAGAAGATGCAGAATGACTTTTCAGAAATGGGGAGAGTAAGTATTCTTCGGTTATAATTTTTAAAAACAAGGCTCACAAGGATATGGTTGGAAGTATAGAAAATAATTTAGCATTTTTTAAAAACGTAAGTGAATAGTGGCATTCCAGTTTGCTATGTATCCATCGTTTTAGACTTTGAGATTTTTGACACATGTACTTCGTTATTATAGAAATGAATTAGCATAGTACGGTAGATTTTAAAGTGTTTCATGCTTTTTAAGGAGATGGAATCTCTATCGAAGAATATGAAACAAATCTCAGATTTATCGAGGAATCTATGCTCTGCTTTCGAAAATCGTCGGGCAAAAATATCAGATCTTTTTGAGACGAATCGCACTCTTAAAAGTTTGCAGTTTATGTTGGGACTTCCAGCTAAACTACAAGTAATGAGAAATTTTTGGTCTAACCAGTTGGACGTTGAGTTTTCCAGCTGCAATTTAGTGCGGGTATTTGTCATCTGTTCTACGCTTTATTTAAGGACTTAGCTTCGAGACATGAACACGAGCGTGCCGTTAATTGCTTCGCTAGAGCAAAACCCTTGCTGCTCAGATTTCTCCATATTTCTTCAGTTTTAAATATATATGATGAATCAACGAGAATTATTTCCCAAATAGAACAACAGGTTGACTCCCCTACTTGTTTATTTTTTTAGCAACCTTATTAAACCCTTTTGTAGCTTGCTGTTTAGTTGACAGAAATGGCGCTCCGTCAAAAAAGTTGTACAAAAGAGTTATCAAATTCCCTCGCATTGCTGTTACGTCTGGGAGTTCCTTCTTCAAATGTTCAGTCCCAGTTTATGGAGATATGCGCTCGAAACTTGAATGAACAGATCGATACTCTCAGTAAACTGATTGAGTGTGATAAAAGCAGTGTACGTTTGTTAATTATTGTTCTTGTACATTACTTGACTTCCATTGTGAAACTATATATTTTATTGCAGAAAAGTATCTATGATATTTTAAAAAGTATCACTCTAAGATTTTTGGATTAGAAAAGTTTTAAAATTATTTTTAATTATTGTCATGTCGATCTTTTGCTTTAAAGGTGTCCGCATTTACTAAGTTCTATTTTACATGTTGTTTCTTCAAATCAGGGCGGCAAAGACGTATTGGAATTCGTAGATGATTCCTGCAGCACGTTTTTGGCTGATTTATCATTGGTGGCAGCTCTAAATAAGCGCCTTTTTCCAAAAGTAAATTTTTTGCATTGCTTTATATCTTATTTGGCTTTTGCTTCCTCATGTTTAAATGTTATAGCATGTATCAGATGAAGAACTGATTGAATTGTTTAACGGTGTCATGGCCCGCTTTGAAACGTGTGTTCGCTCTCGTTTTCTCTGCGAGGTAGACGCTCGCGAGTGTGCTCTTGTAGTGAGAGCTCTTGATAGGTTTTATAGACGTTTATCGTCATGTAATCAGCTCGTTTCTGGTTTGTTTTTAAAACGACTACCTCAAATTTTTACATTATTATTCTGCTTCAAATAAGTGCAGCAGTTATTTTTTTTTTTTTGTTCAGGGGTAGATTATTCGCCTGTAAATATTTCTATGTTGAATTCTGTATCTCGACATGAAATAATCCTTGCTCGTGAAAGGATTGTCGAACGCGTTAATGCAGCAATCTCACAGGTAGGACCATTTAAGTAAAATGTGCAAGGTTTTTTCTGGAACACGTGTTTTTTTAAAAGAACGCCTGTTATTGTTTTTAAGGTTTGTAGCGAACTTGCAGTTGCCGAATCATCTGCGCAAACTAAAGTGTTGAATTTGAATGATATGGTCGCTAGGCTTGAAAACGTATTAATCGTTCAGTTGAAGACTGCTTTGGCATCTTTATTACTTTTTACAGCTTCGGATATGACTTTTTCTTCGCTAGACCCTTGTACTGCCTTCCATATTTCTTACATTAATTTACCAAATATTGACCGTACATTTTTTCTTTCCGTAACGGAATTTGTACTGTTTCTCGCCCAAATTTTAATTGTTTATGCAGAAGATTTGCTATTTTTGAATAAATTTCGAGAAACCAAAGGATTGAAATTATTTAGAATTAGTTATAGGCAAAAAAGGGTGTGACTGCTAGCCTTCAATTAATTACAGCATTTTTCCTTTTTAGTATTGTTTTCTCATCGATTTGGTGTTGAAGTTCATGAAGCGTTGATGGTGGAGTCACTTGAGCAAGTTTGTCTACTTGGATCTCATTTACGCGAACGCAATGCTCAAGGGACTAGTTTCAGCACAAATTTGTACATTTTATTGGCACAATTCTTCATAAATATCGAAGCTCGTTCCTTAGAATACGTATTCGGTTTATGTCAGGAACAGTTTAGGTATATATGTTTGCTTTTTTTCCTTGTCTTTCAAGTCCTTTATTGTTAAAGTTGAGAGCATTTTCAAGGTTGGTTGAAGAAGCACAGAAAGGCGCAGAATCTTGCTTGACTTCGATCGATAACGTCAGGTTCTCATTTCGAAACACAGCGTATAATTTACTCAGACATTATGTAAACCGTCAAGGAATTTTAATCTCACAGGTCCTGCTTCCTTTTTTTCGATCTATCTTATTTTTAATCTTTACTGTTGGCTTCTCCTGCGTAAATCAGTGATTTTCGAAATGGACTATATGGACTATATTGCCCAGTGGAGGGCATCAGGGAGGCAATGAAAGCCTTTGAAGCGATAAGGGAACTGTACGGAGTATTAAAAGCTAAAAGAATAGTTGGATATTCTGTAATCCAAGAATCGTATCAAAAGTTGAGATGGATTTGAGCGTATTCAATGAGACCAAATAAAGTCGTTACTAAGACGCTTTTTTCTGGTAAAAAATTTGACACTAAAAAAATGTGGTATGAATCGTTCTCGTTTGTTCAGGGTTTAATAAGGTCAAAAGCAGTTATGGAAATAGGCATTTTAAATTGGAAGGCACTCTGAGAGGTTGCGGCGATGAAAGTTATTCTTGGAGCGATAGAGTAAAGTAGTTTAAGAAACACCTCCTTATTTCTTAGATGCTTTCTCGTTGAACATTATTAATACAGCACTTCCTGACCAACGCCAATCTTTTTTGCGAAAAGCATCTTAATTCCTAAACTACATCTTTTTTCTTTTTAGCCGTTGGTTAGAAGCGTTGAAGGTAAAGACTGGTTATCTTGTTCAGAACCGACTGCTGTTCGTGCAGCAATGAAAAGCTTTCTCGAAGACTTAACTTCTCTTGACAGTTTAATAAAGACATTTGTAAGTTTCCCTAGATTAACAAATAACTTAGTTACCTTTTGACGACTAGTCTTCTTTTAATCAGAGTTACTGCTGGTATAACGTGAAAAGAAAAACTTTAAATTTGCTGTCAGATGCTGTCAGAAAATTAATTTTTTTCATCCAACATGTGTAAAATCCAGTATTCACGAATGCATATTCGAATTCACTCTTTTTTCAGATGAATGAGGGCGTTAAAAAGGAACGTGCAAGCGAAGGCCCTTCTTTACGTTCTCACACGAGAAGGAACCCTCCTAATTTTGATGCGTGCTCAATAAGCTCAACGCTTGACAAATTATGGTCAGAACGGGTTGACTTTTGTGCAAATGTTGAGGTAGTAATCACACTGATCGTACCATTCCCTATTGATTTTAGTAGTCTGAAAGTTGGACTTTTATTTCGTAAGTTATCTTGTTTCAGTTCAATCGGACTTCTGTTTTGACCGCCTTGGTAAACATTACTATGAAATCTCTCCTTGAAAGTGTTCGCTTGCAAACATTTTCAAAGTTTGGTCTTCAACAAATACAGGTCAGCTTCGTGTTTTAGCACTTGAAAAGTTTTAGAAAATCGATAGGTGCACCAAAATATCCATGTTTTTCCCTTTTAACTGGGATTATTTAGCCTTCCAAAATTAAAATTTCTCATAGGAGATTCATTTTCAAGGTCGACTGCTCGTTTCTCCAACAGCGTTTGTGGCGTTTTATTTCAGACGATCAAGGGACGGTCTCTTTTATTGATGAAATAATTTCGTCTGCAATGCACCGCTGCATAGATGCGAAGTTGCTTAAGCCTATCACGGTATCAGAAATATGTGAGAAGCAATAATGAGTTAAAAAACTGCACTTCATAGTGATTCAGCACTGCTATTTTAATACTGCTACGAAAACATTATGTACGGGAATCTTTCATAGTGTTCAGAAATCTCAATAATTTCTTTTTTCATTAATTATAAATGGCAGTTGTATCCTTTTTTATATAGCTACTGAACAGCATATGTTTGCATAAGTTTGCGAGGAAAAATTATGCTTTTTAAGACATCAAAAATCTAGAGTAAGTGGATAACAAAGCAAGACTCCGGTCCCCATTATTATACTTTCGGCTCTGAAAGTGAAACATCTAGTGTGCCATCCCGACACATTCCCAAATGAGAAGGGGGGAAGAGGGAAGAAAGCTAACTGCACTCTAGTCACATTACTCGTATAGTTGATGCCTCTTTCATTTGACCTGTAGCCTACTGTAAATTTAACTCACACCCCAGTGTCCATTGCAAAATCCTCAAATTGTGAATTTAAAGCAAGTTACAGCAGTAGTGTCCGATCGCCAACATAGGCACCCATCATTCAGAACTCAGAACTTTGACAAATTTCATCATCCTCTCAACGCCTAAAACTTTTATCCCTTGAGGCGCAACATCACTTGTTTTTAGAACTTGTAATCTATTGAAACAGTTGATTCTCTTCGTGCCTACGACGTTGAAGCACTGAATCAAAATTTCTAGAGTCGGATTTTATGCAGTTTCCCAGCGCGGCAGCACTGATGTCTCATCATCGAGACCTACTGTCGGGAAACGTTCGCTACATGACTAAGCGAAAGCAGTGCCAACGCGACGGAAGTGCAGAGCCGTGTATATTACTAAGGACACACTTTCGAGTAGGCTAGAGTGGAAGTTTTTGCGTTGGAGTCCGAACTTTTATATTATTTACAACGTCACAGTTCAAATCTCAACTATTATACTGTATTCCATCATGGTCTGACCACAACAAACGGTTCAACAGAAGTCTAACACTCTGTGCTTGAGTATAAAATAGCGCATAGACATCACTAAAATTATAAATATACAGATCAGAGATGGTAGCCTTGTGCGCAAAAATCGAAGGCAGGTTAATAATATGAGTAGAGACTGGGGCCAGCAAACTGCAGTGACGCCCTACAGTTAATCGCCTGAGTTACAAAATTAGGTAGACATCAAATCGTGCAATACTGAGCTTCTGATACGTCAAAAAAAAGGATTTCTTCAAGGCCATTCTAACAAAAACTGCAGTCTGGTACGGGAATGAGTTTACAATAAACTACAACTGCAGCACCAACGAAAAACGATTGTAGAAAGAGATTTTGAGAAATCCTTGTTGGGGTTCAGAGACATTTTTTGTAGGAAGTGTATAAATCTTTATCCAACTTCAAAAAAATTGTTCTATTCGTTTCAAGAGTGAACCGCGCTAAGGGCAGTGAAGCAAAGATTATTCGACAGGGGAAAAAGTGTTACATCCGAAGGCAATTTTTATGGAAGTAGAACAAAATATGCTAAAGAAAAAAGACAAAGACTTAAATGGTGACGAAATTTCTATTAGTCCGACAAAGCAACAGAATAATGGAGTCAACAACTCTTGCACAAAAACACACACTTGGTCGACATTTGCTGAAGAACTCGAAGATTCAAAAATGAGATTTATCCATTCGTACAAGTTTTTACATGTAACTATCGTTTGCACCGCTCGACGATACGACTAGATGAACCAAAAGTGAAGGCTTATTTAGCAGTTTTTTCAGGTGTAGTAAAACAAGCACTAAAGACTGCTTTCATAAAAGGTCACAACGGCGTCCAACCTCCAAATCAATCAACTACTAAGCATACAAGGAGAACTCATCAGTGACCAAATGGTAGCCAGCTTTTCTTCCCTCTGCACTTAAAGAGCCAGGTGTCGTACTTTTTGTGCGCTATTCACTTTAAAAAAGGCACTCTTGGAAACTGTTGGTGCGCACAGGTAGCAATCATCAATTACGTCAAGCAAAACCTCATTTTTTCCGAAAAATAAAGATATGAAGTAATAATTGAAATTGTAGGAAACAGGACCTATAAAGGTTGAATTTTGAGTCGAATTATTCTTTCTCTGCTTTATGCTTCAATTTCGGCAAAAGTCAAAATAAATCCACAGTATCAGTCGCTAACATCGTGATATGCTGATTCTTATTCTTACACTTTAATCCAATTCTTTTATTGCAGATGAGTTAAGAGGGCTGACAAGGAACCCAACCTTTACAACTGCAGTGCCGAGCAAAGTTTAGACTTCAAAGACGTGGACCTATAACACATGCCTCCCATAAACACTACACTCTCGAATAACCTACTAAGAGGCTCTGCTCAGGACTGTTTAGGACATGTCAACTTGCAAAACTTGTCAGTTTTTCTCGCATCTTTCGCGGTTGGAATGAACGCAGTATCCGCATCACTCAACCGCACTATTGCTGTTCGATGCTCGTGCGCATCGCAAATTGCTAGAATTCTTCTAACATCTTTTAAGCGGAAGAAATTTCCACTTTTAGCAAAGTCATTACGTTTCCAAGCATCTACCACGAAAAACCCCATGATTTAGGAAAACATTCTGTCGGAAAAAAGGATTCATGTATACAAATCTTTAAAACAAATTGTTTAATGATATTAAATTGGCTAACAGTCCAGGACGTGCAGGAAGTGCGGAAGCAGCTTTCACTTAAAAAACTGTGGAAATCTATCCTGTGAAAATATAACCGGCAGCTCACCGCTTGGAATTCTTCCAAAAAGCGAGAGTCTCTTTTGTGTCCAAACCCGTCATGCATTCTTTAGAGATTTTTGACGAAGTTTTCCGACGGATCTAATTGGTATTTGAGCGAACTGCCTTAAATGGAGTAGTGTAAGATAACTGCAATTACGTATGACAGTTGTTAGGTTTCTGTATGAGTACATGATTTAGAAAGTGACTGTAAGTTTTTTCTGTTTTATAAAATCATTAAATTTCCAATATCAGTGTTGATCAGCTTATCGTTATCATCCTGAAAGGTGTGTCGCTGTTTAATTTCGAAAAAAAGAAAAAAAAAAGTCGTCTGGATTGTTTGCTTTTTATCTGGGTGTTCAATTGGTGTAGCTAATGTGAAGGCGTTTACACTTATTAATACACTTTTTTTTTTTTTTTTGCTCTAACTGAGCATGATATTCAAAAACGTTTTGTTTTTTATTGTCATTTCCTTAAACTTGGTAATTTTCATTTCTCAGCTTTTTTAACATTAGTTATTGTCCTGTTCTTCATAATCCTTGCTTTTCTTTCTGAATTTTATTTTTCAAGATTTTTTCTAAGAAAAAACGTTGTTTCTAGTCAATGTCAAATCTTCTGTAGCTATCTTTAATAGTTAATTTCAGCTCTCTCTTTTAAATCATTGTATTGATGTTACATTAAACCCTTGGTATTTTGTGATGGGAGGCGACAGTGCAAGTACGCGTGGAGAACTGGAGGAGCTGAAAACTGGGATAAATTTTTGTGTTGAGGTAAGTCCTAAAAGTTATAACAAAACTGGTTTGTTAAGATTGTTTAATATTTGAGTAGGAGAAAAGTATTGTGGATAGCGCATTGAGCCTCAGGTTGTTTTTTTTTTAAATTTCAAAAATCTTTAGCACGTGCGTTTCAGGCATTTCTTAGGAAATGGGAAATAAGATCTTTTTAAGTTTTACCAGAAGCACTTTGGTTGTGTACCCACCACATGCAAAGATTTTTATCAACGGGGAGGGCATATCATTTCAGATGAATTTGTCTTTAAGGGCTCTGCTGGCTGTTGAGCAATTTTTGTAAAAACACAGTGAGTTTTTTAAGGTAGCATTCAACGGAAAGAGCTCTCTGATTTGATCGACTGACTTTTTTTTTGAGCTGGAATTGTGGAGGGGTTTGTTGTTTAGAGCGAGGAAGGTTTTGGATGTTTTTGTCGTCTTATTACTATTTGTTTATTTCTCTTCTTTGCTACTGTTTCTATTGCGCCGTCAAGTGAGGAAATTACTGAGCTATTTGAATCCTGTTATTGTCAAAAGAAGGCCATATTTTTTAAGTCTGTCACTGTAACACAGCTATTGCTTTTTATTAGTCACAGTAACCGCATATTTTTTTTCAGTATCTTGGTTACGTGTTGGTTTTGGCGTCGTTGAAGAATATTCCTCGGAGGGATTATGTAACTGCGTAAATTTTCAACATTATTTTCTATCAAAAGTTTAATTTTTGGGATTTGGAGTTATGCAGTTTCTCTCTATCCTCTCCTAAATTTATCGATACTGAGTAATTTTCAGTCGCTGCATGTGCTTAGTGGCCGAGAAGTTACAAATCGGTCAACATTCAAGGTCGAGTGATGACAATGGAGCCGTATGTTTATAAATTTTTATAATGTCGTTTTGGTGTTTTTATTTGCTTCCGTTAAGTATGGATGTTAGGTTTAAATTTTATGTAAGTACATTTCTGTGTACGCTAATGGGTCGTTGAATAATATTCAGGACATCACTTAATTATTGTACTGTTTGTTGAACAACGTGACATATTTGTTTAGAGTCGCGATGCGCAGACAAAGGCAGTGATAGGTGAAGTAGTAGTCACAAAAAAAAAGGTCACACTGAATATAGCTCTTTCTGCATTTATAATTTTGGATGATGAAGACATCATACAAGAAAAGCATCCAACTGAGTTGATTTCGTATGCGTCTTTTCCATCACAGGTATCTTCAATGTATGTGTTTTTTAGTTTGCTATAGTTTGATTTAACTTTTTTTCTGCTTTTGTTTTTTTTCCCATATCTTGTACTAAGTTCAACCTGATGAGGTCTTACTTGGTTCACAGCCTTCGCTAGCCGGCTTCTTCTGTTTCGTTTCTCATCCTAACGAAGAAAGAGGAAGGTGTTGTATGGTTTTCAAAACTTCAGAAAGAGGCGTGGATTTCATACACACGACTGTGGATAAAATTTTTA